AGAGGTGGGGGTGGGGTTGATGGAGATGCTGGAAATCCAGTCCCTGCCCCTGTAAAGTGTAGCTCCCACCTGGGACCCAGACCTGCTAGACCCACATAAAGCTGACCAGTGCCACCTGAGTTCAGAGTGATGACTCACAATGAGCGGAGCTGAATGAGGGCCTCGGAAAAAGATTCAGACTTTTTAAAGGATTTTCAAAGCCAGGAAGGAAAAGAGCCCAGGAGGAAAAGCTATCTGCATTCAAAAGAGATAGATGCCAGCCACCAACCCAGGCATGGGGCAGTGAGCAACATAACAGAACTCACTGCCATCGAGTCAATGTTGACTCATAGTGACCCTATAGGACAGGATAGAACTGCCCCTGTGAGGGTCTGAGACTGTCACTCTTTATGAAAGTAGAAAGCCCCATCTTATACCCTCGGGAGCAACTGGTGGTTTTGAACTTTGGGCCTTACAGTTAGCATCCCAATGCTTAACCACTCTGCCACCAGGGCTTCTCAAGACAGATAAAATCCCTGCTGTCCTAGAGTTCATCTAAACAGAAAGCTGGAAGTCAGAACAAAACCACACACATACCAGGTACAGGGAGAGCAATATGCTTAAAACAAAGATGCAAAGGATTAGGCAGAAATAAAATGATGTTCAATGAGGCCCTCCAAAAATCTTGGCCGGCTTTGCAAGGTTCCAAAGTTGCTCTCTTTCTCAGGGTACCCACTGGAAATCTTTGAGGGTAGAGGGCCATAAAGTAAGGTGATCAGACGTCCCGCTTTTGGCGGGACAGTCCCGATTTTGGCAGGACAGCCCCAATTTTGGTTGGACAGTCCCGATTTTTGGAAAGAATGCAAGACAAGCTAGGGAACAGTCTATTTGGTCCATGTAGACCAAATTTTTAATCAAGAACCCCAACCCCTCCGGTCAATGGTGTCCCGCTTTAAATCTGGTCACCCTACAAGAAGACTAATTTGGTAGCTGTGCACAGCACGGGCTGCCAAGGATGAGGGACTACAAGCAGGGGAGCCAGTTGGGAGACTTGTGGAGTGGAGGAGTTTGGATTGATGAGGACTCAAGGCAGAGTGGAGCAGTGTCTTTTTGACTTCTTGAGGGACAGAATGGAGGGAGAGGGTGGAGCCAAAGATAGCAAGGATGCTTCCAGCCTGGGTGACAGGGAGCAGGACTTCACTGCTGATAGCAATGGAGGAGGCATGATGGAACCAGCAGCGGATGAGGAGGAAACCACTTCCTGCTTGAAGATGAAGGGGCAGCAGGACTCTCTGGTGGAATGTCCTGAAGGAAGGGGGGAATTCAGAGCCTTGACTGTGGCATGGAATCTGGAAGCAAATACCTAAAGGGAACAGCTGAGAACAGAGCATGGAAGATGACTCTCAGGTGAGACCCTTGCCCAGGAAGCCAGGATACAACATGCATGCTCGAGAAACAGCAGCGGGCAAGCCAGACCCTCTGTATTTTGAGCCAGTCAGTGCAGGTGAACCTAGTGCCATCACTAAGATGGCACAGGGAGTGGGGATCATACCAGATCACTCTGTCAGAAAGGTGACACCCAAATGACAGTCTATGAATCTGTGCGTTGTTTCAGCAGCATTATTATTTTACAGAAAAATGTCCCCACCGCTGTAGTTCAAGATCATTTCCCATAAGCCCAGTTTACTTTTATTGACATGCCTGTCAGGCTAACACTCTAAGCTACTTTTTTAACCTTCTAATACACTCTAGAAGAGCCCTGGCGACATAGTAGTTACATATCGGACTGCCAGCCGCAAGATCAGTAGTTTGAAACCACCATCCACTCCAAGGAGAACGAAGAGGCTTTCTAATCCCACACGTCGTTTCAGCCTGGGAAACCCACAGGAGGAGGTCAGCCCTGTTCCATCGGGCCCGTGACTTGGAATTGACTTGATGTTGAGTTTGAGGTTTTAGAGTTTGAATCCACTTTGTCCAGAGCGACCATTATTGTCCAATCACAACAATGGCTCAGATCACACGGTCTCATTTGCAGCTGCTACAAGCACACGCTGTTGATTTTGTTGCTGCCAGTGTTTTGTTGTTTTGGTTTGGTTTGGCGGGGAGGTTGTAATGGTTTGAAAACACTTTATTAAACACATTTGAACCTTTGCTTAAAAGTGAAAATGAATTTGGATAAAACCAAATCTATGCCCGTCATTTCCTGCTGTGTGAAGAAGCACAAATAAGATGTACATCCGTTCTAAAAGCAAAGTGTCTCACTCTAGAGATTTCAAGTAGCTCAAAGAACACAGCCATTTCTAAACACACAAAGATCGTGCAGCTCAGTCCGTATTCCTGGGAAGGGTGGAGATTAGCTTGTCTGTGGCAAAGGATCTGTCTCCTCGGTTGTTTTTGGAGCGTTTCCTACTTCTGAGGATTCTTCGTCATTTTCCAGTGTTTGCTGAAGTTTGTGGATGGTTCTAAGAGTAAGAACTGTTTACGCCTCCATTCCAGCGTATCGTCAAGGCTTTTTTGAATAGGTGAAAGATGCTCTGAATTTTTGCCCAGTGCCTCTAATGCCTTTAATGGTCCGTGCCTGTTTGGTTCATGCTGGCTGACTTTTGTTAGCTCATCATCATCTTGGCAATTGTGGTGCATTCATTTTGCTTGAAAAATATGCTTTTGGCCCTTAACCATGTTTTTCACAGGCTACAATGATGCTACCTGTTCATTCTTTGTACATTTTTTTCATAAATTAACATTTCTCTGAGATTTGTATCCCATAACAGCAAAGTTTTGCCCACTGAACGTTCACATTGCAACACTGTGCTCAGCATACATGGGTGCTGGCTCCATCCCTCCTCCTGAGATCCAAAGCTGCGCCACTTAATGGAACCCCTCACGAGCAGATTAATTCTTCGATCACTCCAGTGCCATCTCTGTTAATTAGGAGACGCTTCTGTATGACTTTGCCGTCAGTTAGCAGCTCGACCTGCACAGGCCACTGTCAATGTTTTCATTGGAGCTGGCTTTGTCAGCTTTTCTGAGTTTAGCTACAATATTGTGGCAATTTTTATTTATGGATATAGGTCCATAACTTTTTTGAGAATGAAGTTCAAAAGAATGGGAGATGATTTTTTTAAATTACAGGCTTCCTTCCACTCAGTTACTAATCATGTTGTATCTCATAATGTTGCAATCCAATGTGGAAAGGTTTTTTAAAACAATTTTGTTAGTGTTCATATAATGCTAGAAATCTAACATTTGAGCACCTTACAAGTATAGCATCACACATTGTTCTAAGATGCAAATCAACGATGAACATTCTAAGGAGTCTGTACGATCTGGTATGGAAAGAGGCCTGCCCATGGGGGGAACCGTCAACCTTAGTGACAACACTGAGTGAATCTTCCGTCGTCGTATCCATGTAAATACAGAAAGTGCTCAAATGTTTCATGCAACTTGTGTGCATATACAGGAACCCTGGGAGCAGAGTGGGTTACCATTGGGGCTGCTAAATGCAAAAGTGAGACAAGGTTTTCTACTCCTGGAAAGAGTTATAGTCTGGGAAACCCTCAGGGGCAGTTCCGCCCTGTCCTAGAGGATTGCTGAGTCGGCATGGACTCGATGGCAGTTTGTGTAGTTTGTGTGAGTGTACAGAAACAGGAGCCCTGGTGGTGCTATTGGATAAGTGTTGGACTACTAGCTGCAAGGTTGGTAGTTCAAACCCACCAGCGGGAGAGTGAAAGATATCTGGCCTGTAAAAATATGATCCATGAAACCCAATACAGGCTCTCTCTGAGTCAAAACCAATGCCTAGGCAGGAGGGATTTTTGGTTCTTGTCCACAAAGTTCCCGGGAGCTCATGAAACAAAAAGACAGGAGACTAAATGAGCATTTCAAAATGATCCTAGGTGCCTACACAGGTGACGGTCCTGCAGGCTCAAGACCAGTGCACTGTAGAGATGCCCACTGGACTGCGTGCATCAGCCAAACCAGGAAGACTGGTGTTGTAGCCTGCCCGGTCCTGCGCCACCTTCACAAACGTCCCTGTGCCTGAGCCCACTGTTGCAGCCACAGGGTTAGTCGGTCCCATTGAGGGCCTTCCTCTTTTTCACTGCCCTTCACTGGACCACATTATTACTGTGCGGTGCTCACTGCAGACTACACTGTCTAACACCCTTCGACTGCCCTGAGGGACCCTGGTGGCATCGTGAGCTGCTAAGCGGCTTAAACGCTCGGTAAAGAGCTGAAGTCTTAGAAACCCACAAAGCATTTCCCCTCTGCCCCATAGGGTCAGAATCGACCCATGGCACTGAGTCTCATTTGGCTTTTTTGTTTCCAACGAACTGAGCTTGCTTTTCAAATTTGACTCTAGGCAAAGGGAGCCTAGGGGACGCCTAGGGGCACGTGTCCAAAGTTACTGTGTGGGTCCTAAGGATACGGATTTGGACAGAATATAGGAAAGCCAGGTCACACAAACATGACTGCTTCACAAAGGCAGAACACAGCATGATGACAGCAGGGGCTTTAGATCTGACCACTCCACCCAGGTTAGAAAGTGCTTACAACATACAACCTGTGTGTTGTGTTGTTGCTGTCTCAAAATAGATGGATAATGGGAAACGGTCACATAGTGCAGGTGTGGGCCATACTGCATGGAAGACAAACTGGAAATGGATAAAGTTTACATCTGTGTCTCCAAACATTCTTGGCACCTTATCTTTACTTCCTCTAAAACTGTCATTAGTTTGGGATTTTTTTAAATTTGCTTTACCATTAAATAGTTCACATCTACTTGTTGAAATTATGATATTTTATGCGGCTAATTCATACTATCTACATTTGGTTGCCAACCACTCCATTCTCCTGGGAGCACCAGAGTTTTGTAAGTACCACTAGGCAGAATTTGTTTTACTTGACTATTTTAAAATTAGCTTGGCATGTTTATGGTTAGAACACAGCAAATTTCAATGATTTCATGATGCTAACATTGGAGCTCTGGTAAAAGCTTCTGCCTATGAATTTTCTAACTCTTCATTCGAATGTTGGCCAGGAATTTCATTTTCCTTCTCTTACAACGTGTCACTCTAGCTGCTCACAGGGTCTGAGAAAATGACACGCCTACTCGTGTGCACTACAGAGCTCATTCACTGGTAATCAGGCCAAATATAATGGCACATCAAGATCTCAATTTATGTGCTTCAAACATAAAGTATAAGACATAGAAGTCATATGTACATATTTACATCTATAAGATTTAGCTTACCGTGGCAGAGAAATATATGAAAGGCCTTCAAAAAAGTTGGTGGAAAATGGAACTGAGAGATAATGGCATTTTCCACAAACTTTTTAAAGCCCCCTGTGTAAAGGAAGATACTTGTTTACTTAGCCACATCGAATCTGACTGATTCTTTGGAGATGGATGGGCAGAGACCAGGAAGTTTAAGTGCCTCCCAGCAACTTATAGGCATCCGAGCTTCCCTGGACCACACATGCAAAGAAGAGGTTTCATTTCTTCTCTGTGTGTGGTAGATACTGTGAGCTGCCTGCTCCACTCTCTGTGGTACCCAAGCCCTCAAATCCCAGGCATGCCAATAGCTAGGAAGGCATGTTGGAGTAAAAGAAGCCATGAGCATATAGAAAGGGTGAATTTTGTTAGTTACATTACGATTGACAAAATAATAATGAACATCAATAAATTGAGCCCCCAAACTCAACTCACTGCCATTGAGTTGATTTTGATTCATAGCAATCCTATGGGTCTGAGTAGAAATGGTCCTGTAGGTTTCTGAGACTGTAACTCTTTATAGGAGTAGACAGCCTCATTTTTCTCGCTTGGAGCAGTCAGTGGGTTCGAACTGCTGACTTTGTGGTAACTCAATATGCCACTAGCAAAGATAACAAGTTCATGGAGGTGAAAATGGACTGCATTTAATTCTGAGTCGGGATGTTAACATTAGAAAGGAGAACTTCCCAATGCTGAGCTCTTGCATCAAGTGAGGACTTGTTAGCTTTGACACAGGTGAAGAAGCAGCCTGAGTCTGTCCATGAAAAGAAACCATGCCCAGCCCTAGAAGAAAAGGCAGCCAACTCTCTGCAGCTGTGCATCCTGATAAGTCTCTCGTCATCATTCGCTTTGAGCAAGTGGACCGAGAGAGACACACACTCAGCCAGGCCAGGAAGGAAGTGTAGGCATTTGAACAGTGAACAGAACGCAGGTACCTGGGACCGCAAGGTTCTGGTCTTTCTCAGAAGGAACTGGCATTGGGGGAAACCCTTCAGTTCAGTGGGAATGCCAAATGCCTGCACAGCAAGGCACTTCCTTCCTGCCACTCTGAAGCTGGATCCACTGGGACGAGAAGTGTCTTTTCTTTGATCCTGCCCTGCTCTCGGGCTTCACCTGAGCTGTTTGGGCCCTTCTTATGGAACAGCCAGGGCAAGCCTAATACCTCCGAGCTCTGGGTGTCACGTTTCCATCTGTAACATTGAACTTGAAGTGTTAGTGCTGGATGTAGAGAAAAGAGGTTTTTCAGAGCATGCCTGATAGGATGTGGATGATACATGGCGTGTTTTCTCTGGGAGGTTTACCAAGTGCGCATGTTTCCCTACTTCACAGAACATTACCAGATGAGCGTGTTGGAATCGGCTCCCATCAGCTCCACAGTGGGGAGAGTGTTCGCCAAGGACTTGGATGAAGGCATCAATGCGGAAATGAAGTACACGATTGTGGATGGAGACGGTGCAGATGCCTTTGACATTAACACGGACCCCAATTTCCAAGTCGGCATCATAACGGTGAAGAAGGTAGCCCAACTACTCCCTTTGTTAGGTCATTTCAAGATGCTGTGAATGTCCGTGAGTGCTAGGATGGGCTGCTGGAATGTGTGTGTGTGTGTGTGTGTGTGTGTGTGTCCTACTATTTTTCAATTTTGTTTACATTGCAACACCAGCTGTGCCATATTTTATAGTAAGGGCCCCGGTCATGACTACAAGATGTCCTAAATGTGGTATCTCTTTCAGTTCACTGTGTAGCCACTTAAAACATGGCCACGGCTTACTTCTCTCATAATGTTAATGACTTGATCGATCTTTTCACTTGACTAACTCCCATCTTTTCGCATGGCTAGACTCAAGCTAGAATGATTGATTTTCAAGTGGAAGCTTATCAGCCTCTCCCAACCACACTCACTGCCACCGAGTCCATGCTGACTCAGCGACCCCCCTGTGGGTTTCCCAGAGTGTAACTCTTTCCAGGAATAGAAAGCCCAATCTTTCTCCCTCGGAAGCGCTTGTGGTTTCGAACTGCCAACCCTGTGGATCACAGCCCAACGTGTAACTACTCCCCCACCAGGGCTCCTTTGAACAGCCCAGTAAATAGTGATCTGATGAACTGTGTGGTTATTGTTGTCAGGTGCCAACAAGTCAGTCCCGACTCCTAGCGACCATATGGACAACAGAATGAAGCACCATCCTCAGAATTGTTCTTATGTTTGAGAAATGCATTCACGTAATTGTCTTGCTCTTCTGCTTCAAACACATCTAACATATCTTATTTATTGCAAAAGCACTCATCAAGCATCTACTACCTGGCAGCTGTTGTTCTAGACATTGAGCAGAGAGTATGTATAAGAGTCAGGAGTCTCTACTCTTCTGGGGCTGACCTTCTAAGGAGGGGACGGTGATGGTCTAGACCACCAGCCAGTGAAGTAGCATATGAGGAGGTGGTCAGGACTACAGGCAGGAGCGCTGGTGGCAGAATGGGTTACCCATATCAGACTGCTAACCACAAGGTCAGAAGTTCAAACACAGGAGGAAGATGAGGCTTCTACTCCTGTAAACAGTTATAATCTTGGGAAGCCACAGGGGCAGTCCTACAATGTCCTCCAAGGTCACGACGAGTCAGAATCAACTCAATGGCTTTGAGTTGATGCTTAAAGGATCACAAGGGTCAAATGGAAGAAAATCATAACAACCAAAGAGCCATGACAACGTCAGACTTAAACTGGGTGGTTTGCATGGCATCATAGAGAAGTGCCGTTTATGCAAAGACTTAAAGGGACTGAGAAGGAACACAACTTGGAGATGGCCGGGTTGGCAATGCCAGCCCTCAGAAGTGCCCTGTAAATGACTTTGTGTGTGCGTGTGTGTGTGTGGGGGGGGGGCATCTATGTGTGCATTCTTCCACTGCAGTTTGGGTGATATTTTAGAGAGCACATCTGTTTCCCATTCACAATGTTCTACACATTTTGTTTCATGGCATCCGTTGCACTCCCTCAATGTGAAGGCTGTCTTCTCCCTTGCTTCTGGATTTCCGTTTTCATTCATCCTCCTTCCCGGCAGCCTCTTCATGCCTTCTCAGATGTGTTTGGGGGCAAACTTGTTTAAGTGATTGATGAGAACTGTGCGTGGCAGCCTGGAGATGTGGGCATGGACCATGGAGAGATTGTGGAAAGCATTTCAGGCGATGGGGATAGCCCGGGCCAATGCCCTAAGGTAGAACAGAGAGTTCCAAGAACATCAAGGAAGTTTAGGAGGCCGAGTGGAGCAGAGACAAGTGGAGATGAGATCATAAAAGTAAGAAGGGGGCAGATCATGTGGGCCCTTATAGGCTAATGTAAGAGCACTGGCTTTTTTACTCTGAGCAAAGAAATGAACCACTGAGGATATGTTTTTGCAGATAGGTACCATGAGCAGGCTTCCACTTCACAGTAATTATTACTCTGCAGGCGATGTTGAGAAAAGGCCATGTGGGGGTAAGGATGGAGTAGTACAGTGAATCACTTAATGTGACTCTCCCAGCCATGGCCTTTATAACTCTCACTAAATGACTTCTTCCCGATGAGTCTGGGGAAGAGAAGGTAGAGGAAGATACTCATAGGATTACAGTAGTCAGTTCTGAGGGACTGCTAAACAGGGTTCACTGGGATTATAAAAAAAACTCTTCATGAGGCGGTTGGCCATCCTGCCTGGTGTAAAATGCCATGACAACGCATAAAAAGGGGCATCTCTCTGCCATCAAGAAAGTGTTTGTCTTCTTTCTCTAGGCGTGCAGTGCTTCCTTGGGACCCCGAGGTCCTTGTGCACTGAAACTTCTCGGGTGGTCCAGGGACAGAAAGCTGGGGGGACAGGTGAGGAGCAGCAGCAGAACCAAGGGTCAGAGCACAAGACGGAGCGGTGGGCTTCCTGGCCCAAGAAGTGAATACAGACAAGAGGCTCACTTGTGAAGTGGGGTGCCTCCAGATAACTAATTGGGATGCTGCCATCAATCAGAGTAGAGTGGAGTGGCCTTTGGGTATGTATTAACAGAATTAAAAGAGCTTTGTATCACTTCTCAAGCAAGGCAGAGGCCAGGCCAAGGGGTCAACTCAGAGAGAGGCCTGCCGTGGACACCAGAGGTGGGGCTTCATGGCCTAAGAACTCTATCCTGAGCCTCTCTGATTCTCAGTTGAAACCTGGTTTCCTTCCTTGGTAAACTCCATGATCATGAGTGTTACCCTTGAGTTGTGTAGCCATTGCAATGAACTATCAGACCCTGTCCACACAGAGAGCATTGTGGGAAGATTGGTGAAGGGTAGAGGATGGAGGCGTGTCTGACCTTCCCCTTATTAGAAGCAGCCTTCCACAGCTGATGCTGATGCTGGGATTCTCCCCCACCCCCACCCTCACCCTCATAATATTAAATGAGGTCAGATGTGGTTTCCATGGATGGAAACCAGCGGCCATATAGAAGCTTTCCCAATAATCCAAGAAAGAGATGTTGGCTCTGTTGCCATGGCTGAGGCAATGGAGTTAGTGAGAAATGGCTGGAATCTGAATATATCATGAAAACAGTGCCAATGGGCTCTTCTAAAGGACTGGATCAGGATGTGAAAGAAAGATGGGAGTCTACAAAGACACAAGGCCTGCAAGTACCATTAACCGAGATGGAAAAGACCACAAGTCAAACAGGGGGAAGGGTGGCAAACATCAGTGTTCAGCTCTAGACATGTTGTATTGTTCATAGGTGCCACCTAGTTGGTTCCAACCCAGAGCAACCTTGTGTACAACAAAACTAAACACTGCTCAGTATTGCGCCATCCTCACAATTGGCCCTGTGCTTGAGCCCATGACTGCAGCCACAGCGTCAATCTATCTCCTGGAGGGCCTTTCTGGTTTCTGCTGCCCCTCTACTTTACCCGACATGAGGCCCTGGTCTCTGCTGACAATATGTCCAAAGCATGTAAGACAAAGTCTCACCATCCTTGCCTCTGAGGAGCACTGTGGCCGTACTTCTTCCAAGACAGATCAGTTTGTCCTTTTAGCCATCCACAGTGTTTTTAATTTTCTCCTCCAGCACCACAAGGCATCCATTCTTCTTCTAGACAGATGATGTTTATTAGACACCCAAGTGGTGATGGGTAATGGCAGTTGCATACGCGAGTCTGAAGTCTGGACAAGAGCTCTGGGTGGGACGTGTCAATGTATAATGAGCATTTGCTATTCTAATAAGGATTCCGATGCTTATGAGAGAAATGAAGGGGATGCCAAGAGACAGTGCCTACACAGAGAAGTGGACAGTGAAATGAGCCCCGAGGCACCTTGCCACTGAGAGGTCAGGAGAAGGGCCAGGCCGAGCAAGCGGATGGAGGGGAGAGCAGAAAGGCAGGAGAAAACCAAGAGAAGGCGGGGTCCTGGAAGCCATGCAGAAAGTGTTCCCAAGAAAAGGAGGTGGTCTCCGTGATGAAGGCAGCTGGAGGTTGGAGCACAGGAAATGGGCCTTCCTTAGGTTTTATTTAGGTCATTGGTGAGCTGGCTGTAACCATCCTGGCCATCGATGGGAGGGTGGAGCTCATTGGGGTGTGTTTCTTACAACTGCATGCTGGTCCCTAGAGCTGAATGACCATGGCTTTAAAGGAGAAGGGAAGGAGAGTTCACATGTTTTCCTGGATTTGTGTGAAGTGGCATCAAATACAGTGGAAGAAGAGATTCATTCAGCGTCCTGTCAACCAAAAATCATTGCAGCCAGGACACATCGACCCAGAAACAGGGCACTGTGTTGACGTTGACCTCTGAGTCTTTTATCTGTAACTTAAAATATTGCAATTTCTTAATTTACTCTCGTTCTCTGAGAATTACACGTTAGGGTTATAAAAGACCAAAAATATCAATTTGGTATATGGGACAGGTTTAAAAACACTTGTCTACTATGTGGCATGCCTCACAAGTTATTGATAAATAATACATTGCTTACCTATAACTGTAAATCAGGGAAATCCCTGCAGTTGTAGATAATTAACATTGTCAATGCAAATAATAATCCTATTAAAAAGTTAACTCCTCCCCCCTAAAAAACCTCACTGACATCAAGTCAATGCTGACTCATAGCGACCCCCAGTGGGTTTCTGAGACTGTAACTGTTTACGGGTGTAGAAAGCCCTATCTCTCCAGCAGAGCTGCCTGTGGTTTATAACTGCTGACCATGCAGATCGAAACCCATGCTTAACCACTACACCACCAGGCTCCATTTAAAAAATTAAGCCATCAGAAAAAGAGCTTTTTGGAATCCCAGTATACGTTTTATTTTATATCTTAGAATATTTTGTTAGATAAATCTAAATCATTGAGGTAAGACAGCAATGTAAGTCAAATTATGATAAAGCTGATGCCATCTGAGAAGGGACCTTGGGGGTGCAGTTGGTTAGAACATGTCTTCTCTCCATTCAACTCCCTCACCTAAAAAGAGAATCAAACCATTATTAAAATTATACCCACATTCACTTAAGACATCAATTTTGCCAGGGACATTTTGAAAATGAGATTAAAAA